CTAGGAGGGCCTCAGAGAGCCCAAGATGACCTCCAAGATGGCTCAAGATAGCCCAAGATGGCTCGATATGGCCCCCAAAATGCTCTAAGAGGCCCCAACACCGCTCCAAGACGGCTCCGAGTGGCCACGGAGCCTACACAGCAGGGCTGGACCTAAACGTTGTTGCTCGTTTGGTTGTGTGTTCGTTTTGTTGTTCGTTTTGCTCTTCTCCTGTACCTCCCTTCCAAAACGAACAAGAAAACACAACCGACACCCAGCACAGCAGCGTTTAGGTCCAGCCCTGCTACACAGCAAGCCGCCAAGAGGCTAAAGTCCTTCAACAAGCTACATGAAATCAATGAGTTGTGCCTTCTCGCCTTTTCGCTTCCGATGGCCTTCCGAGGCCTCAAGACGGCTCCAAGAGGGCCCCTAAGGGCCCCAAGAGAGGCCCAAGAGAGCTCCAGGACGGCCCTAAGAGCGCCCACGAGCGCTCCAAGAACGCCCCAAGAGGGACCCAAGAGGCGATGTTTGGGGCTCCCGAAGGGGGTCGTAATTAGAGCTCCCATATGTTTTAATAGATCTCCTCCCAGATGGCACCAAGAGCGCTTCCAAGGCTCCCAAGAGCGCCTCAAGAGGGCCCCAAGATGCGCCCATGAGGCCTCAAGAGGCGCCCAAGAGGCCTCCAAGAGGCCTCCAAGAGGCTCCCAAGAGGCCCGAAGACAGCTCCAAGATGACCTGATGGCCCCAAGAGAGGCCCAAGAGAGCCCCAAGACGGCACCAAGAGCGCCCAAGAGTGTCCCAGGAGCGCTCCAAGAGTGACCATTCCTCTGCGTGCTGCCCACATTCCTGCTCAAGGCAACTCCTCCGGGCATCGCCTCTGGATGGGCTGGTGGGGTTACGCGTCAGGATGTTTGTTTATTGCTGGAAGTAGCCCATTCGAAGAACGCCGTCTGATAATCCTCAATCGTGCCAAAACGCAGTGCCTGGGACTTCAGCGCCGCGGATCAACGTGACTGTTGCATCCAGAAAATCCGAAATCGTGCGAGAACGCCGTCCATGGGACTTCAACAAAGCGAATCAATGTAACTGTCAGGTTCGGACAAGCCTACATCGTGCAAAGACACCTAGTCTGGGACTTCGACCATGCGAATCCTCGAAACAACTGCAAACGTTTAAAACGAATGCGCGTGGCGCTAAAGCGATAACCATGTTTGGAAAAAGACCCACCCTCCACACTTGAAGCTATTGCAAACTTTAAAAATGAATGCGCGCGGCGCCAAAACGAGAACCGCATTGTGAAAACGACCTGCCCTCGACCCGTGACACTATCAACTGTTGCAAACGTTAAACACATGCTCGCGGCGGTAAGGCGAGAACCACAATTTATAAACGACCCGCCCTCCATGCATGAAGCTGCAAACTTTAAAACGAATGCGCGCGGCTAAAGCTAAAACCACATGTTGAAAACGGCCCGCCCTCCATCTGTGAAACTCTTGCAAACTTCCAGCTTCAGGATCAGAATTGGCGAGGAATTATCATGCGACATGCCACGCCCGCCCTAACGACACGTCTGGAGGTACTACAAGGAGGAGTCCTTCATAAGGAAAAGGAATGGAGAACGAGGAGGAGAGAACGAGGAGGTGGAACGAGGAGGAGGAGGAGGAGGTGGGAGGAGAAGGAGGAGGAGGACGAAAAAAAGGAGGAGGGATGAAGAAGTGGAGGAGAAAAAGGTGGTGGGATGGAGAAGGGGGCGGACAGGAGAAGAAGCAGGTAGAGGCAGAAGAGAAGGAAGATGAAGAGGAATAGGCGGGGGCAGGAAAATGCGGGGTCTAAGAGGAAGCGGCAGAAGGACAATAGAAATGGGAGGGGAGGGGGGAAGGAGAGAGGAGGGAGAGAAGTAGGATAGGGGGGGAAGGAGGAGGAGGACGGCGACGACGATCAAGTGAGGAATAAAAAAAGTAGGAGTAGGACAAGGAGAGCTGCGGGACTGAGGGGGGAAAAATATGAGTGAGGATAAGCGGGTGGAGGAGGCGGGAGAAAGAAGTAGGGAGAGGAGGTGGAGGAGGAAGAGGAGCAGGGAAGGAGGAGGAGGAGCAGGAGGAGGAGGAGGAGCAGGAGGATGAGGAGGGAGGATCAAAGAGAAGGCGATGGGGAAAAAAGAGAAGGAGGAAGATGTTAAACCCAGCGCCTTGCGTCACATCTGACATCCTACCCCCCCGCCCACATGTTCCCAGTGTGCTGAATCATCCGGCGTCCGCCGATAGAGGTTTCCTTGAGGCCCCCCTCAATCGTGTCATACACAGAGAAGGGGGGACTTTGCACATTGAAGAAGGACGAGGGCGTGTCAGATGAGCAAGCTGGCAAGCGGAGGAAGCGGCGGAGGATGAAGGAGCAGATCGAGGAAGATCGGCAGCAGACGGAGCAGGAAGACTCGCGGGAGCGGGAGGATCGGAGCAGGAACTCTGGGGGAAGATGGAGGAAGGGCAGAGAGAGGGGCACCAACGACGGAAGAGCGTTGCCGAATGCTCCGAGAAGGCCACGGCGCCCGAGACATCCGCCAGAGCCGCCGGCTCTCTGAAATTCGCGATTCATCTTCACCCGATCTTATCCTCGTCCTGGCTTCACCGGCTCTGGAGCTCTGGCCCGCGCCAGGACGAGATCGCCGTTCGGAACGGCGGGAGCAGCAGAGCGCCGATCCCGGGAGGCGGCCGACGCCGTGGCGTGGAAGGACCTGCTATTGGAAGGACCGAACACAGCCTGGTCGAGAAAAACAGCACGAATGTGCTTGTCACGGGGACCCACGAACCGTGGGGTGATGCACGGTGAGCGTGCGACCTATGTGGCATGAGCTGTGGTGCGTGCTATGGTGCGCAATATCTGTGGCGCAATCGGCGCGGTGTTATGGGGTGTAAGCAGTGGTGCAGTCCATGTGGTGTGAGCTATGAAGGAATTGTGCAAAACGTGTGGTGAAATTTACGTGGTGTGCACTATGTGGTGCAAACTGCGTGGAGCAATCGACATGGTGCAAATAACTTGCGTCACTCCGTGAATTGCCAACCCCACTGCTCGCGCAATCGTCCCACTCTCCCGCTCGCAGCTTAGATGGCAAAGCCTATGCGGCCACGATGATTGCGGCTGCCGCTTGGCCCTTGCTAAGCAGCGCATCTCTGCTGGCGCGCGAACGCTCGCGCGCAGGGATGCCATCTGGTTTGGCGCTACTCATCGAGTAGGAGATCGCCTACAGAATTGATTTACCCCAAGATTGGAATTCTCGGCGAACCGGCGACAGTTCTGCAGAACGTTCGCAGATCTCGACGAGCATTCCACATACTTCCCTCGTAGATTCGACGATGAAATCAATTTCGGGGTAAATCAATTCTGTAGTCGATATCCCGATGGCGCTTGCCGATGGGCACTTCCTAGCATGCGCCTCAGAGGCCGCGCTGGCGCGCGCACTTCGGGGTGCGGGTCGGGGACTCGGTCGTGCGCGGCATCATGCTGTCGACAATCAGCGGCACCGATGATGACAGGGGTAGTAGCGATGGTGGTGACGATGGTGAAGACGGCGAAGCCATGGCCAATGACGGCGGCGATGCTAGTGACGACGATGGTGATGCTGATGTCCGTGTGTCGGTTGTGAGGGTGCTTGTAGTGATGACGGCGACAATCGCGGCGATGGTCGATGACGATGACGGCGGTGATGCGATGGCGCTGATGAGGGTGATGGTGAGGAAGCGCGCGCGCAGGACTGTCAGGCATCTGGCAGACTTCTTGAACAACAGTTGACCTTTGGTATGTCTTCGAATGAGTGAATCAGAAAATGCTTCGAACGCCAATGGTTTTGAACCAATCTCGGCACGCGCGCGTGGCGGCTCGCGCGCGGGACCCGCATGGCATGATTTGATACGGGTTCGTGCATTGGGCGCATGTAAGATCAACGCGGATTCACAAAGGCGTGAGGTGAGAATGCGGTGTATGGACGAACTTAATAAAATCACATGATGTCCCAGCGATTTCAGCAAGTACGCTCGGGCAGAAAGCCTGCAAGATCTTGGATGAGAAACCAGTGGGTTTGCTGTTTGCTTATGCTTTCACGATGACATGCTTGCAGCAATACAGTGCTTGGTATGATTTCGAGATGTGCGCACGCGCTTGGATGATTGCAAAGTGATCGTTTTAGATCGATGCGAGTTTCAAACGATCTTGCGATGGGGTGCTGCACGACTACCCTTTGAGAAGAACAATTGCGCGCGCTGACATTATTTGACAGGGATGAGGGAGGTCAATACCAGGCTGAGTTGGGATAGGCTGTTTGGGAAATGAGCGATTGGAGCATGATCCCACGTAATCAGCAATGTCCCAGGAGGTATCGATAACCCCGGAGGGCGGGGTGATAGAGTTCATCTTTCTTTTGCGGGAAAACCATGCGGTACAATCTACGTGGTGTGAGCTATGTGGTGCAGTCCATGTGGTGTGGGCTATGATGTGTGAGCTATGCGGTGAATATGTGGTGCACTCTGTTTGGTGTGAGCTACGAGGTGCCAGTTCTGTGGCGCAGCCTCTATGGTGTGAGCAGATGTGCGCGCGGTGCGCCCACGAGGCGCCCACGGGCGGCAACGTGGCGAAGCCTCGACAGACCCCGCCCAGCGCACGAGGCGGCCACGCGGTGCCCACGGGCGGCAACGTGGCGGAACCGCGCCGGACCCCGACCAGCGCACGAGGCGGCCAGGAGGCGGCCACGGGCGGCAGCTCGAGCACCCCCGCCAGACACGTCCAATCCGACAGTGGCATGAGCGTGGACCTCAGAGTGCGAGCACCCCTGTGGGAGCTGCCAGGTCGTGGAGTCCTGCGTGGGCGAAGCCCGCGCGCGAGAGAGAGAGGCGGGAGGGCACGCGCGCACCGCCAGGGGACGGAGGAGCGCAGTGCTCGGGTTGTGCGGCTGTGGAGGCGGAGCGGGGAGGCGGGGGAGGGGGGAGGGAGGGAGGGAGAGGACGAGCAGGGGACGGAGAGGAGGCGTGGGCCTCCTTGAACGCGTCCTCCGCGTCATCCGCCGCCCTCTTGAAGAACGTCTCCGTCCTCGCCCGCGTCCACATGCTCATGATGCTGCTCGGGCCCGCCCCTCGCGGGGACGACCTCTCTGGGGAAACCAAAAAGGTATCGATACCGTTGCCCACCAGACCTCTCCCGGGGTGTGCTTTGACCAGAATTTCGAGGCGCATCCAGCGGAGGCGACGAGGGCCTCCCAGGAGGCCCCCAAAAAGGGAAAAACGAGCGAGGGGCAGAGGTATGGGTACCTTTTCCTCCTCTGACTCTCCAGGGGACGCCCGGAGAGCGAGCCTCCCGAGCTGGGCGCGCCGCCCAGCCGACACTCGAGCCCGAATGGCCAGGGCCTCCCGCAGCGCCTCCGCCGCCCGCGGCTGCGCCGCTTCTCGCTCCTCGCGGCCCGTGTGACCCGGTGTGTGTTCATGCTGTCTCTGGTGCAGTCCTCTGCCCGCTGCTCCTTCTACGTTCCCTGCCCTCCTCCTCCTCCTCCTCCTCCTCCTCCTCCTCCTCCTCCTCTCTCCTCCTCCTCCTCCTCCTCCCTCCTCCCTCCTCCTCCTCTCCTCCCCTCCCCTCCCCCCTCCCCTCCCTCCCCTCCCTCCCCCTCCTCCCTCCTCCTCCTCCTCCTCCTCCTCTCCTCCTCCTCCTCCTCCTCCTCCTCCTCCTCCTCCCTCCTCCTCCTCCTCCTCCTCCTCCTCCTCCTAGTCCTCTCTAAGGCTGAAGCTGCGCATGGTATCCATCCGTGCTGATGCGCCGACCCGCATGCGCGTCCTCCACGACGACGGCGAAGACGACGGCGGCGCGCTGCCTGGGTGGGGACGTCTCCCGCCTCGCCGCTCAGCTGGCGCGTGGACCGCGCCGAAGGCGGCGCGAGAAGCGCGGCCAGGGGATCCAGCGACGGCCCAAGACACCCGCGCGGATCTCTGACAACTTTGTTTGTTCAGTTATTTGCTCTTCGACCTGGACCCTCCTCCTCGACCCCCCCTTCCTGGCTCCTCATCCTCGATCCCCCCCTCGACCCTCCCCTCGAGCCCCCGATGCATCCCCACTGGATCCTCCCTCCATCGATCCCAAACTCAATCCGTCTCGGTCCCTCCCATGGATCATCCGCCTCGATCTCCCCCATCGATCTCCCCCATGGATCCCCACCCCCAAGGACAAAGGCAACGCTGACGGTGATGTTGATTAACGTCGATGTTGAGAATTTGGTTTCTTGTGGCGCCGAGCTCGCTCAGGACGGATTGCACGAACTCGCAAACGTTCCTACATTTCGAGCACGCGAAATTATCGAGCGAAGACAACACGGAGAATTGCCGGAAACCTAGAACCACGCCTTCCTACAATCGGGTCGGCCACGAACCACCCCCACCTATAACGCTGAAACTTGCATCGCCGTTGCCTACATCGCCGTCAGCGTGTCTACGGATGGATGCCGCCCCTCGATCCCCCCACCCTCCGATGCATCCCCCCCGCCGACCCTCCACCTCGCCCCCCCCCCCCCCCGACCCTGAGGGTAGGGTGAGAGGGGAGCTGGGGAGGAGGAGGAGAGTGAGAGGAGGGGAGAGGAGGGGAGGAGGGAGGGAGGAGTAGGAGAGAGGAGGAGGAGAGGGAGGAGGAGAGGAGGAGGAGGAGGAGGAGGAGCGGAGGAGGAGGAGGAGGAGGGAGGAGAGGAGGAGGAGGGAGGAGGAGGGAGGAGGAGAGGAGGACGGAGGAGGAGGAGGAGGAGGACGAGGAGGAGTAGGAGGAGAGGAGGAGGAGGAGGAGAGGAGGAGGGGCAGGAGCAGGAGGAGGGAGGAGGGGAGGAGGAGGAGGGGAGGAGGAGGAGAGGAGGGGGAGGGTCGGCCCCTCCTCTCGACCCCCCCCCCCCTCCCTGGGCGCGGGCGGCGGGGGCCAGGCCTCCCACTCCGCCGCCGCGCCCTCGTGGGGCTCCTCTGGCGCGCGCGCGCTCCTCATCCTTCTCCTCCTCCTCCTCCTCCTCCTCCTCCTCCTTCACAATTACTCAATATGAAAATACTCTCCCTCTTCCCCTGATGGCGTCCGGGTGATGGCCGCGCACCCTCCGCGTACTGTTTTTTTTTACACACAGGATGCCCGGGAAATCCCGGGAAACGACTCTCGCTGAGGCGCCGGCGTCATTTTTTCCCAAAATGCTGCTCTCGTTGAGGCGCCGGCCTCATTTCTGCTCCCGAATCGTTCCGAATCGTGCTCCCGCTGCAGCGTGGGCCTCATTTTCGGATCGGTGTTTGGCCTCCGTCGTTCAGGATGGCGTTCTCGCCCCAGCGCGGGCCTTTTCTCGCGCGCCCATCCGCCCGCCACCACCGCGCCGCACCACCACCACCACCACCACCACCACCACCACCACCACCACCACCACCACCACCACCACCACCACCACCACCACCACCACCACCCACCCACCCACCAGCACCCACCACCACCACCACCACCACCACCACACACCACCACCACCACCACCACCACCACCACCACCACCACCACCACCACCACCACCACCACCACGCACACACGCACGCACGCACGCACGTGCACCACCACCCACTACGCACGCGCGCGCGGAGCCACAGGTCCGCTACGACACGCGTCCGCGGATAGAGAAAATCAGCGCCATGGTAAGGGATGGGAGGGAGGGGTAGGACGTCAGATATGACGCGAGCGCACCTAGCTTGCCCTCCCGCCCTCCCTCCTCTCCCTCCTCCCTCCCCTCCTCCTCCTCCTCCTCCTCCTCCTCCCCCTCCTCCTCCCTCCTCCTCCTCCTCCTCATCCCCCGCCATCCTCCCTCCTCCCTCCTCCCTCCTCCCTGCTCCCTGCTCCTCCTCCTCCTCCTCCTCCTCCTCCTCCTCCTCCTCCCTTGTGTCTCTCCTGCTCCTCCTGACACCCCCCAATCCACCCGATATTCAATGCTGGTTCTCTGCCGCCGTTCCTCCCTCCGAGCCTCTCCGTAGCCCTTGATACACCTCGCCCTCCTCAGCGTACGCCTCTCATTCATATGGTTTGGGTTCCTGTTCTCGTTCTTCATTTGAATGTGTTTCGCACTCGTGTGCTTATGTGTGTTACTCCTCATTTCGCTCAGTCTCGGGCGACGTGCCTGTGTGGCATCTCTCCTCCTTCTCCCCCAACTTATCGCCCTCCTCCCTTCGCCGTCATCCTGCTCCTCGCCCTCCACCTCTTCGACCTCCTCATCCGCCTGCGACTCGGGTCCTCTTGTTGCTGCCCCTCCTTTTCCGCCTCCCATTCCGCCTGTTCCCCGCCCCCTTGTCGAGGGGGAGAAGCGAGAATAGGTGGTGGAATTCGGAAGGGAAGGAAACGGTCAGGGGGCTGGAAGGCAGCGGGGAAGAGAAGAAGACAAAAGAGCAAGAACGGGGAAGAGGGGGGGCTAGGCGGGTGGAAGATTGGTCAAAATCCCTTTCCGCGTCCTCCCTCTCCGCATCCCTTCCATATCATTCCCCCCTGCATCCATTTATCCTCCTCCTTCCTCCGTCTCAACCTCCCTCCCCAGAGCGGAGACCCACCTCGAAGGGGTGGGGCACGACACCGAGGAGACGGGCAGGATGATGATTCGATTGTATGATGACGATGAGTATGTTAAGGAGGACAGCGTGAAGAGCGGGTACGAGAATGGCGACGACGGCGAGGACGAGGAAGAAACTCTGCATCGCATCCTCCTCCTCCTCCTCTTCCCCTTATTCCTCCCTCCCTCTCCCCCTTCATTCCTCCCCTCCTTCCTTTCCTCCACCCTGCCATCCCCTTCCATGCCTCCTTCTTCCTCCTCGTCCTGCTCTCCTCGCCTCTCCTCTCCACTCCACTCCTCTACACTCCACTCTTCTCCACTCCACTCCACTCCACTCCACTCCACTCCACTCCACTCCACTCCACTCCACTCCTTGGCGGCGAGCGCGGCGGCATGTTCTCGCCGTTGGCGAGCACGCTCGCGTCGCACTCCATCCACGTTGACTTTAATGGAGCCACCTGCGTGGCCATACGCCACTGGACTGCCGAGGGAGGGGCGGTTGGGCCTCTTTACGTTCCCCGTCCACAGGGATTCCCTCGTTCAGGCCATCCAATAAGAAGAACGAAACGCTACAAACAGAAACTTTTTGGCGAACCGCGCGGATTTCTTGGACCTGCGCCCGACCCCCCTCCCTGGCGCGCGGAACGCGCCAGGGGCGGCGCCGGAGGCGCCGCCGGGGGGCCTCAGCGCAGATCCAACAAATCCGCGCGGAGCGCCATGTTTGTGTCGTCTTTTCCTCTTCGACTACGCCTCGCGGGCTGCGGCATAGGGATTGGCTTAGGTCGGGCACGTCCTCCTGCAGGCGGATTCTGGGCGACAAACAAAAAGAGTCAAAACATGAGCACAGGTGGTCAGAACATAGTCCCCAGACGGTTTCGTTTAACTCTGTTGGAATCTCACTCCTGTAGAGGGAAGGACACGCCCGACTTAAGGCTTGGCTCTCGCGCCCCTCGCGTGTGGGCGCTGGCGCCGCTGGCGCGACGCTGGCCCCGCCCGACCCCGGCCTCGCGGCGACACTCGCCACAGGCGCGCGCTGCGCGAACGAGCGCGCCACCGCCCTCGGAGCGGCCGCGCCCGCCGGAAGCCTCGAGCTCGGGGAGGGGGAGGAGAAGGAGGAAGAGGAGGAGGATTGGATTGGATTAGACTCAAGCGGAAACCAGGTCAAGCCTGGGCGCAATCCAATTTCAGGGAGCAGGCCAGGGGACTCCGCTCTTGGGCGTGAGTCCATGCGAAAGGCGGCTCAGCACCTCTGTTCCCGCCTTGGTGGGGCGGCGTGACGGGGGGCAGACTTTACAAAGCCCCCGTATGTTCACAGTGCCGAAACTCCCACACACGACACAATAAAGCACACCCCGAATGACATCGAGGGTGTGCGAGCTGTCAGCTTGCATATGCAAGGGATGGCAGGAGGGATCATCAGGCACCAAGGCGCGGGCCCCAAAACACCGACCAGGGAGGAAGCGTCTTAGAAGGCCGTTCAAAAGAAACTTACGTTCACAAATCTGACACTTAAAGACGGCCGAGCGCTTCACACAGGAGTGGCCTGCTGCAGTGAGGCGGGCCTTCCTGGTAGCAAACGAAGACAAGGCACGGGGCTTACGCGGGGCACGACCTACACGGGCCGAGGTCAGGCGTTTGTATGACTCAGCAACCTCCAAATTCACTGCTAGGAGCCTTCCTAGAATGGAGTGGGTCAGATCATCTTGGTGGCGAACTATCTGCACTACCTCATCAGGAACTGCACTGGAATATGCAGCCCATCCTGGGAAGAAATCTGCACACCAGTTCAGGAAATACTCATCCGACTCAAATCCAAACTTCAA